CTTCTTCTTTAAAAAGGTACTTTAATAATTGAATGATAAATAGTTTTGTTTATAATATTTTTTCTTTTTTATCAAGGTCATTAACCCTTTGACTCCTACAGCACTCAAAACCACCTGTAAGAAACTGCATGATTACCCGGGGGGGGGGGGGGGGGGGGGCTCCCATATATTTGCTATTTTGTGTGTCTTGAACAGGGTAATATTTTCTTAAAAAACATCATAGGAAATAGTAGAATTGATTACTCTTGAAAATTAAAGGCGCTCAAAGAGCGATATTTTATATAAAACAAACAGATTACTGAATTATCAATGATGATAAGCCCGTCCAGTATAGAGCAAAAAATACACATTGTTGAAAAAGTGTTATTTGCACTTGTATCATAATGTAAAAATATGAAGAACAACCCTTTTTTATGGAAACTTGATCACAATGGTTTAATTAGAGTGTTTTAACACTTAAAAGAGTGTTAGAGGTGCCTTAATATAAATAAATAAAAATAAATAAATCGACTTTATTTTACGAGGGTAACACGTGACAGTAAAGAACTGATGAAGTTGTGGCCCTCACACTCACTACCTCTACATTAATTATTGTAGCACACAACACTCCTCACATGTTGATTTTTACTGAGGGAGGAAAACCGGAGGACCCGGAGAAAAACCCTCGTGGCAAGGGAGAGAACATTTGTTGATATAATTATTGCAAATTATTTTTCTTTAATTAAATGCAGTAAAGTACTTACCCAGTTGTAAGAACCTGCAATTTAAGAACCTGTTAGCCTAAAAAAATCAAATAGACCCCATTCACATAAGAACCTATTTAGCCTGAAATTTGAAGCAGGTTCTTATAGAAAGGTTCTCATAGAAATTTAAACCCTAAAAAAGTCTTCATGCAAAGAAACATCACTTAAAAAGTTGTGAAGTTCAACATGTATACACTTCTAAATTTGGTATAAATAATGTTTGAAAATCTTGTATATCATCCACTTATCTATTCAAATATATTTCCTCATTGTCCGAATTATTATTCTTCTGTAAAAGTATGAGCCTTACATATCCACGTGATTAAATATTTTTGAAGGCTGTGATTGTTTGGCAGGCGAACATTTGTTGATGGGTACTCGAGTTGGCGGTAGAAAATGTACCATTTCTGCATAAATCAGCCAATAATCTTGAGTTTATATATACCTTCTTTCAAAATTTACACCACGATAATAATTCAATTGTTTGTCAAGTTACCTTTTATTCCCTTCATTTTCTTTGCTATTCTTGATCGATTTTTATACTTATATTGTCAGAAAAGCATCCTGGCCTAAAAAGAAACATTTCAAGGCATATGCAGATCTTAGAAACCCAGTCTGACAGCTTCATTTTCTATCATTGTCATTAAATGCTTTACACTGTATATCAGAGTCCAAAACTGGTGACTAGTCACAAACTCAATACANTGCAAATCCAGCCATACTAACACAGGTCTTTCAATCATTTATATCTTGATTCTAAATGATAATTTAATAATATTATTTCTTTCTCATTCATGGAAAGCTTTTGATGTTAAATTCTAGGCTGCTCAGTGCTTTGAAAAAGTTTTGAAGGCTATGTCAGGCAATTACGAAACTATGAAGATTCTTGGTTCGCTGTATAGCCAGTCTGTAGACTTGGACAAGAGAGACACAGCAAGGGTTGGTTCTTGTTTTTATTGGCAGTAGTTATGAAAGTGTATGAACAGTTTGGTAGTTACATGTATTACATGGGATTCCTGTGAAAGTGCATGTTTTAAATCAGCATGTGGTCTTGGTGAATGGAATATTCTTAGAATTACAGTACAGGCGGAAACAGTCTTTTGTAAGATGGAAAACAATAGAATTACCAATCAATTTCTGCTTGCACAGGATTTTTTTATTCATCTTATCCTCTGGAACCCAGTGTAATCTTCTGGAGTGAGAAATGAACAACAGTCAAATATATATCAAATTATTCAAAATTCTACTAAATAACCCTCGTATCATAGGCCGTCCAACTATTGCACGACTGAAAGGAAAGAACGAATGTGCACGACAGGCTTTTAAGGTATCTGGGGACAGTTGTTTTTAGTACCGACCATTACGAGGTTTAGAAATATTTTAGAGAAAATAGGGCTGGTTTGCAAAATATTCAAGTTTAAGTGTTTTCCAGGATTTCCCCATAACATGAACAAATTATACTCGATTTTCATGAAATCTATATATAACATATTTTGGTCTTTTATTCTTCATTTGACAAAATATTGACCAGATTAAAGCAAAATAAACTGCATTTCGATGCGTTTCTTTCGTAATGGTCTATATCTGTCCCCAGATACCTTAATGTCTTTTTTGTTATCGGTGCACGCTCTTAGCAAAATGCGGATTACCTGTGGTGCACGTCATGATCCTGTGCCTCGCGGGTCTACATACCTGCGTACTAGTCTGTGACAAGGTATGAAAATCAGTCATCTGATGGATCGATGTGTGCCCCAGGTAGCTGGGACACTTTTTAGGAAAACAAAGATTGGGTAGGGTGGAAAAATATGGCGTGTGATAATTTTTTGTCAGAAAGTATGCAACAGTCCTAAGATACTTTAGCATTTTTAGCACGAATTGTTTTCTAAACAAGTCCAATATTTCACCGAAAAAAACGAACTTTTACTTTTTAAGAATTAGGAAATTGTCCTTCAGTAGCATTATGAGTTAAAATGAGTGTTGAGGGCCATACACTACTGTCAAAAGTCAAATAAGTTTTCACACGCTTTCGCCGGACGCCAGCATCATCACTGGTTACTTACAAGAAAGAACGGAAAGCAAAGTAGGAGAATACACTTTTCGAGGAATTGGTTCTCCCAAAACCTTGTAGCTAGACATTTACGAAAATTGTAAAGAATTCTGACTTTTGATACGATATGAAACGATGAATTCTCCTTACATTGCAGTTGTCTGCAGCTTCTGTAGCTTCTAAAATGTTTGATAGCTCTTCTTCTAGGATATCATCCCAGAGGACATCATAAATAGGCATTTCTTCGTTCATTGTTCTTGAAAATGAATGATAACAACAACAAATACAAACAGCGGGAAAAAAGAAATTTTTGACGCGCGCGAGCGTGTTTTGATACTGTAATCAAACATGGTTTTCRACCAATCACAGCGCGCGTAGTATCCTAAATATTTTAGAAAGTCACTTATGAAATTGTACTAAACCTTGTTATAGACTAGACCCGCGAGGCACGGTAATGTGATGTGAATGTGAATAGCACAGTAATCGGCTATTTGCTATGAGCGTGAGCTGATAACAAAAAAAGACATATTAAAAGCTTGTTCATTCATTCTTTCCTTTCACTCAAGCAATAGTTGGGCAGCCTGTGCTCCTATTAGAGTGCTTACACTATGACCATGAAATAAAATCTAATTAGTTACTAACAAATAGTTTTTATAGTGACTATTAGCAACTATCATTCAACTGGAACAGTTGTATTGAAGTATTGTTTCCTTTTTGTATTCTGTAAACTTGGGAAATTGAATACAAAGGAAACAATACCTCATTACAACTGTTCCAGCAGGCTTACCAAACTATCGAGAAGAGTCGGCTCCAGGCCTCCTATGGCGATTATCGGCCGAAAGCCGTTGAAATCTTTTCAAATTTAGGCCATTTTCAACATCGATATTTTGGTTATTTTGGGGGGTTATATTCTG